AAGTACCCACATGGCAAATGTAAAGTTTGTTGCATGTCGGGAAGTACGCTAAACATTTTGAACAGACAACACATTATCACAACTCTGCCTTTTATATAATCGGGTGCAACCGCAACAAACAAAACATGAACAGAGAAACATCTTAAAGCGACGACGTGCAACAGAAACATCCTGGGATAAACCAGCAAATCTTCCAGAAGACAAAAAAACCCCCCACCGTATGACAACGCTGTGTGTACTGTTCGGTCTGACACTGGTGGTAGTGAAACTCGGCCCTAAAGAACAAGGCCGTTGTCTCTGGTGTAGGCCAATCAGTTTCTAAGACAATGCCTACATATATGTCATCAGAGCCATGTTTTTTTTTGTCATGTTCACGAGTAATGTGTGTTGCTAATGCAGTACTTGATTGCTTGCCAAATGTTTCTATTTGATGTTTGAACATCTTAACGCCCCCTTTTTTAATTGCCAGAAAGGCTAAAACCTTTTATTATTTTGTCATACTTTGACACTGCCCAAAAAGGGCCCCATTTTGGGAAGGATACGAATTGGCTTCTGACGCGTCTTATAATCCAGAAGAGATATGTGGGTGTGTTGCTCTCTCACTCGAGGTCTGTAACCAAAACACGCCTCTGTGTGTGTGCGAGTGAGAGGAGTGCAGCGCTACGAACCCGGCCACCCGAGTTTGATTCCCGCTCACGGCTAACGCCAGTGACGATTTGAAACCGGTCCTGGGCCTCCCCAAGGTCGTCTCAGCCTCAAATGAGTACCTGGTGCGATGTGTAGTTAACATCGTCACTGGGGAGACAAAGGCGGCCGGGCGTGGTGCTGGCCATCCACCCCCTCGTGCGTCGTGTGGGGCTTTATAGGTGCTACTCGTTAACAGCACTTGCCCCAACAGTCTGTTAAAGGCTCTACGGAGTATTTGTCTTGTTCTCCTCCCGCGCCCCTGGAGGGCACGGGTTTTTCCTCCGGAGTTTATCCAGTTTCTGCCAACAGCTAAAGCCGACGAATCCACACGCAAAAAAAATAAAAACGTAGCACGGCCAGTATTGTGGCAAAAATACAAAAAAACCCTCCCCACGCTGCACATTTTTACTCGGATTTGGATTAGAGAACAGCATGGCAGAATAGCCTGAGGCACAGCACACAGCAAAGGGCTTTTTTCCTGGGTGAAACCGAGGAATAATAATACATATAAACAATTGAAACTGTTGTGGGTTCACTCTCCAACACACCAGTGAGGTGAACTAGTAACGAATTATTATTTTCCTTTGGTCTATTGGTAAAGTCACGTAGATAAAACACTAAAATAATTAAAAATACAAATAAAGTGATTAAAAATAATAAAAATGTCAAGACGTTTCAATCACAACACAAGCAATCGTCATCAGGTGAAAAAAAAATATGACGATTGATTGTGTCGTGATCGAAAGGTTGTGATAATTTTATTTTTATTCACTTTATTTTAATTTTCTGATTTAAAGGTTTCGTGACTGCAGGGATTTATATTCTTGGTTCTTTCGGTAAAGTCACGTAGAAGGGAAACAATAAAATAATAAAAATATAAAACAATAATGTATCACGACGTTTCGACTGCAACACAAGCACTCATCATCACACCTGATGCAGTCGAAACGTCGTGAGAATTTTATTGTTCTATATTTGTATTATTTTGTTTCCCTTCTACGTGACTTTATTTTCATTTTTATGTTTTATTATTGTATTTTTCTATCTACGTGGCTTCACCGAAAGACCCAAAGAATATGAATTCCTGCAGTCACGAAAGCTTTAGGCCAAGAATTGCCAATGTTTTGTTTATGTGAAAAAACCCTTTTACTAAGTGGCTTTGTCGGGTGGTGGCGGGTTTAACGACACATATTCACGCCGTCGAACCCAAAAACAAAACCTCTATTGTGGCGAACATTCATAATCCCGCGCACGCACCTCCACGGAATGCTAAAGCCGCTGCGTGGGAGTGAGGGACGGCCTCACCACCACCCCCCCTCCTCCGTCTCCTCCGGGGTGGGGGAAGGCGTGGGTGAGGGGGGGGATCAACAGGGATCAGGCTACCGGATGGGGGGTATGGGGGGATATGGGGGGGGGGTATGAGGCTAATCTGTGATAAGTAAATGGAAGGGGGAGGCGAAGGGGGGGGGGTCAATGTGAATTGGTTATCGGTTGGGTGGTGGTGGCTTTCGAGTGAATATTTTGTCAGACTATAAATTTCCACGTGATGATAATAATCCACTTGGGGTAAGCTATCATTCATTTGTGGCCATTTCGCTTTTTAAAATAGAGCTAACCGTAGCTCAGTGGGGCCTTACCTGGTAAAATAAAAAGTTGAAAGTTTAGGTTTGGGGGGAGGGGGGAGACCTTAAGTGGGATCAGCATTTAGGAGATGGGGAATGAAGGAATCTTTGGGATCCAGGAGTCTAGTAGGGTAAAGGTGCAGCCCTGATGTCCGTGCACACGACACTTGTGAGCAGAAGGGCCTTGACACTTGCAGCGGTCCACCTTTTTGGCACCAGGGACCGGTTTCGTGGAAGACAATTTTTTTTCACGGACCGGGGCTGGGGGGGGGGTTCATCATTGGGTCTTTCCCCCTTTTCAAAGAAGCTCTCCAGCGAAGTTTGTCTTTTACTCATTGTGGCTACTAGGGGTTAGAGCTTGTGGGCTTACCAACACTGTGACTGAGACAAGTGCCCAGTGCGGGAAAGAGGCGCGGATGGAAGCGGTAAATAATAAAATAATGAGGGCGGGCCATGCGCGGACTCACCGCTCTCATCTCCTGCTGCTGTGCGGCCCGGTTCCTAACAGGCCACGGACCGGTACCAGTTCACGGCCCGTGGGTTGGGGACCCCTGCTTTACACGACATGCAGCCCGAGACGGGACCGTGATCTCCTCCCCCAGCAGAACAACGAGTGTGGGGCCAGGGGGTAACTTGGCGCGACACTGGTGGACAAAGCTACGAGTTGAGGCCCTCTTCACAACCGCCAAGAGATTTGTTTTCAACGTGTAAAATAAGTTCAACACGGAGGCTTTCACAACCAATATAAGATATTTGTTTTGGGTTAGATCGCATAAATATATAAATGTCGTTAAAACAGCCACAGCCAATTAGTAAGGGTTGTCACGTAAACAGAACTCTGGCTATCGCCTGATGAAGCTAGTTGTAATTACTGGCGAAACGTCGTACCGTTTGTAAATGTTGTGGCTTGGCTCTCCTACACACTATCGGTGTGCTGTACTAGTGACGAATTGGCCACGTTCTGTTTACGTGACAACCCTCACTAGTTGGCTGTGTCGGGTGGTGGCGGGTTTAACGACACATTTATATATTTACACGATCTACCCCCCCAAAAAACCCTCTATTGAGTGGAAAATAACTAAAACTTATTTAATTTAACGCATTCATTCACGTTCCACACTTTCTTTTAATGAGAGCAAGGAGCGTTTGGGCGACCGCAAATGAAATCTTGGGGGGCCCCACCCAACCGATGGCCGCACCTGCCCGGGCTGACGATGTCGTGAACTCCGCTAAAGTGGAAGGTGCGCGACTTCGGCCCCCTACACCACGGGACCTGGCAAGGCAACGAAAGGGCGCCGTGCCGCCCATCTGTCAGTACGGGACGGGCAAGAGCGAGGGAGGGAAAGGGGGGGGGAGGCGTTAATTTAGGAAAACGCGGTGGGAAAACCCCAAACACGAAACGGGAGCGTTCAGATACCCGCGGGCGTTGGAATCGCCCGTTAACGATTTGTACTCGGCGTGGCCCGGCGTGGCAGCAACATGCGTCTTGTAATGGTGACGATTCTACACGTCACCTACCCCCCTACGCAGCCAACAGTGCCCCACGGCAACAAATCCATGGGTTCGATTCCAGACTCCGGTGGACTTGCGGATGTGTGGAGTACGCGACGGTGTAGCGGTTAGCGCGCTGCGCTACGAACCTGGCGACCCGGGTTCGATTCCCGCTCACGGCCAACACCAGAGACGATTATTTTAACCGGGTCCTGGGCCTCCCCTAGGTCGATTCGGCCTCAAATGAATACCTGGTGCGATGTAAACATGTGAACATCGCCACTGGGGAGACAAAGGCGGCAGGACGTGGTGCTAGCCACCCAACCCCTCGTGTGCCGTGCTCGTCAACAGCACTTTCCCCCAGTCTAAGGTTAGACGGGACCACCGTCTTTGGAGTACGCACCTCCGATTAACACGGTCGCCTACGTAAAATGCAAAAGTAGCTCAATATAGTGACCCCCCCACTCCGCCTCCAGGGTCTCAACTCGAGTTAAACAATCTTGCAATGCAACTGGTTTACTGGCCAAACCGCACCCCACTGCCGGGAGAATCAACCCTGGTACAGCAACTCGCACAAGCCGAAAAAGGGGATAATTGATGTGCCGGGGGGGGGGGGGGGGAGAGAAAAGGGATTGCCAAGTTTCAGGAGGAACCAGAATACATCGCAGCGTTGAGACTTTCAGAAAGGCCCTACCAAGTTTTTTGGCAGTCGTGGGGGTGGCACGTTGCTACGAAGCTGTCACATTTATGGCTATCGCCTAAGGCAGGTTGTACATCAGTGAAACGTTGTTTACAGTACAAAGCTTACTAATCATTTGTCGGTGTCGGGTGGCCACATTTTTATTAAAGCGATGCAACCCAAAAAACCCGTTAATGGTCACCAAAACTCACGTCTTACACTGTCACGTAATCCCAAAAGATTAATTTGTAAGCAATTCTTTCGGGAGGCACGGCTCCCACATTGCCACCACCCCCCCCCCCCCCCAAAGCCACGTGGCGAGGTCTTCGTGCTCTCCACCAAAAAAAGCACCCCCCCACCTCTCCCCTGGCCCACACAAGCTGGCAATTGTTCCCGGCCGCAGCCTAAACAATCGCAAAAACCCCAGGCACACACGTGGGGGAGGAGACGAGAACGAGTCCAGCAGCACAATGGCGGCGTAATCCCACACGCACGGATGGAATCAACACGCTGAAAGCACGCGGGGGTCCCAGGAAGCTTTATTGTGTAACTCGTTACAACAGCAGCAGGGAGACCGCGAGCGCCGCACCGATGGAGACTGTCACGTGGTAAATACCACGTGGGTAACGGGGGGGGGGGGGGAGGGGTCACCAACCCAGCAGACTACAGGGCACCTACCGATGTCTCTCCCATACACTTACCTCGTATCGCACCCACGATTCGCCAACAGCTTCAATATCACCGACGAGCAACTCGCCCATCACCTGATTACCATCTACACGCACCCGGCGGCTTACTACTAACAGCATCGACTCACCAGCCACTAATACCCTCAACTTGATCACACACCATTTCATAAACCAGAGAGCCCCCCAAAAACTAGGTTCCCACTCCCCCAGACCCCCACTCCTTACACCACACTAATACCCCCACCCCCCCACTCAAACACTGCCGAGACTTACCGAACCCCAACCACCAAACTAATCCACCCGACAATGACATCCATCCCCAGACTTGCGTCACATGCCAAATACTTACCCCATGGTGCGCACACGCGCGTCACGATTCACCCCACCCACGGCCGATTTGGCGTATGGTCAAGATTCCATGTTAAGGTTTGATTATTGTTCGTCTAGTTTTCACCGTCTCGTGCGTGCCGTGTTTTTCTCATTTGTACAGCCTGTGGCCGCTTCATTCGTCTACCTAAAGCTGCCCTACTACAGCTAATGCTGGACCCCCTCTATACCACTTTACAAACATCCTCTTAATAGCCTCACCTGGATTGGAACGCCGCCAGCACTTACCGTTACGTTTAGAGCAGGGCAACGAAAATAACAAGACGCGCCATTTGCTTCTCCAATTCGGTACAAAACTCGATATTTTAAAGAGCCGCAACCCACACGTGGTGAATAAGAGACGGTGGCGAGGTGATGACCAATGCCAGCCCCCCTTAAAAGAGCCACCGCACGCGGTGGAGAGCGGTGGGGATTGCCAGCCCCTGCGGTTCAGAGCGATGAAGCCACCGAGGCAAAAGACAAAAAGTGTGGGGGGGGGAGGAATCAAACCCCAAGATTTGCAAATTTAACCGGTTTGGTGAATCGTGACGGGGGCGTTTGGACGCATATACCACACTTGGCCACACGGGGCAGCCTTGGTGCAAACTACACGGCTCCTCCTTCAGTGTCGCTGGGGCAGTCGGCGAGCGCCACCCAGTGGCCAGCAACCTTCAAGCGGCTGAGAACGGAGACACGAGGGGAGGGACAGTGTGATGTTAGTGGCAGAAATCCCAAACACACAACTTCCCCAACTTGCCTCACAACCAACTACTCTGAAATCCTACACCAACCCCCCCCCCGCCCCCCATCAGTCACCTCTTACACCAGCCGGGGTCAGAGTTGGATTGCGTCTCGACACGCGCAGCGCACGAATTGTGCGCATCGCACTCCGTCTTCACAATGCTCATCACGGAAAAACCGGCAGTTCCCCAAAAACTCTCGCGCACCGCACGGACGCGGGCGACGATTTTTGCATCGTTTCGAAAATTGCGATCGAGGTGGCGCTCGGTTTCTGCCACTGCCCAAAGGTCCGTCGGGAGACACGGCGAGCACAGCCATGGGACGGAGAGGTTTGACCAGTCACCCCCGCCCCCCCCCGTCCGGTCAATGCAACTTTCTGACCCGCACCCCCCCACTAGACGTGTGAAGAGCTTTGTAGCTCATCAGATTCCTCGAATATAAATATTATACCAGCCACATTGGAATTGGGAAGCATTTATTCGGGGGGGGGGGGAATAAAAGTCAAATTACCTGCATCAATCCGGACGTTATCTTCAATCCGGACGGCCGAGCGTCTGAACCTGAAACGGCAGAGATGGGGCGAGGGGAAGGTGGGAGGCTGTGTTTAGAAGCGCCGGTTCTGTGCAAAAACTTTATTTATGGCAGTTCTCAACGATGGTGGAGCAAAGTGCGCGCACAAAAACCGTGCCAATCTCGGGGCCAATGGGACTTTTCAAAGTTAAAGAATTCAAATGCATTGAAAGTTAGCGTTGAGAGATCCTCGAATTGACATCATGGTGACATTGTTCAAGCACGATGTGTCATTACTCAAAAACCCCTTGTCAATCCACTGCTTGGATGAATGCTCCCCCTCCCCCCCAAAACCGTTGTCAGTCATGGGTGTCGTTTGACCATACTTCACCATTCCTGTCAGTACGGGTTTAGAAAAGCAGCCAGGGGGGTGGTGTTTGGGCCTTTTTGACAATGAACCACAACAGTTTTTGTTTGGACCGCCAATTTTCGTCGGAACGCATTTCCCCAAGGGCATCAACAAAGACGTCCCAACTCTACTCTGCACACGCACAAACACTCGTGCACCAGCCTCGAGGTCAATCAGAAGAGTATTTTCTCACCACTGAGCAATCTGCCGGTAATTCCAGCTGGTTTAACTCAAAGTCATCATATTGGTGCCTTCGGCTGGTGACGATTAGCTCAAACTAATGCAAGGGGCAGCAGTTGCTTTTTTTTGGGGGGGGGGGGGGGGTGGGGACGACTACTAGGGGATTGGATAGGATCGGGCAGAGGGGACACCACTTGCTCACCTGCTCATTCATTTCCACGGGGTCAAGGTTCACGGCCCTCAACTCATTGCATCTGCCAAAGACAAACAACCGTCGTTGTTATTGCAACAGAATCAGTGTTCACTTCTGCGAAGCCCCGATTCGGCTGACGAGACCCCGAAAGGTTTCAACCAACCAAACCCCCCCCCCCTCCCCCCGGTGTTTATCGTCAAGAAGAAATTTTTCACAAGCCCACCGACGCACGGACCCCACCACCACCACAGCAGCAGCATCAAGGTCGCTCAGAAGAGTCGTTTTCTCACCACCAAACAATCTGCCGGTAATTCCAGCTAAACTCAAAACTCATCACCGAAACCTTTCAGCTGCGACTGGGTGGTTAGGGGATTACAGGGGGGGGGCTTGTGGTTGGTGGGGGGGTCGCGGAATCAGAATATTGATTTACACTTAGGAATCCGATCAGCTATAAAGCTCTTTTTCACAGATGTCCAGCAAGGGGCACAGGGGTCAGAACGTTGCAACACTAAAAACCCAATAGAAGTGCATTGTATAGGAAAGGTTAAGCAAATCACTTCTAAATATACGTAAAGCTTTTTTATTTTACCAGGTAAAGCCCACTCACTGTGGCCTTAACTCATTTTTCAGAATCCACCCTGGCCACAAATGACGGCTCAACAAAAGCGGCTGACCCCGTTATTTGGAAATTTATAGCAGCAGACAAAATACACGCGCGTTTCTCTTTAGCAAGAGGAGAGTTTTCCCACACCACTTGGAGTCTCACCTCCTCTCTCGGCCTCACGGGGGTCACGGCCCTTCAACTCATCTCACCTGCCAAGTACACAAACACACGCGGTCATTAGTGCGCTGTCGGCAAAAATGGAAATTAATCACGAGCTCCGGCAAATAACACGCAACGCACCACATTCGTCAAATCACACCTCGTGGCCTTAAAATAAAAAAAAAAAGTTTAAGTCGACGTTTCGGGCAACAGAACACCGCCAACGTAGCCGTAATCAGGTAATTAATGGTACGGGGATCGACGCCTGTACTTATTCATATAATTAATCAATGTTAAGCCCTCCAGCCACTGGAGGCGCTCATCACCACCACGATGGCATTAAGCGTGATGGATGATGGGTCGTCTCGCCCAATGAATGGCAAAAGGGGCTGAAACGTGCAAAAAAGCTCCATTTGTACTGCAACATCACTCTTTTGCTTCCGATACTTTAGGACATAACTTCCACTGGGTTCCCGCTATATAGCTCGTTTTCAAGCAGCCAACTATCACAAACGATAGCTCAACGAAGTGGCTTGCCGTGTGGAAATTTATAGTCGCAGCCTAAAAAAAATAATACTCAAAACCGCACGTTCGTTATGAACGTGGAGGGAAACCCCTCAAGACCCGGAGGAAAAAATAACCACGCGCCCACGGGGTGAGACACGCAAACTCCAAACATACAGCAGGGTTGGGTTCGAACCCAGGCGAGGTAGTCCAACACCTCGCCACCGAGTCGTGGGGGAGAGGCGACACTCATCCAGCAGTGGATTGACAAGTCGGGTGGGAAGGGACGCGCGGGTCAGCGCGGATAACCTCGTCAGTTTTCGCATCAGACGGCACTTCCCATCACGCAGAGATCATCATCCCCGCACGTCCCTCCAACCCCCAGCACAGCCCGGATGATAGCAAATCCACCTTCCCACACCCCCTCATCAATAGGCTAGCAGTGGAGCACCGGCTAGTGTTCAGTTTCCCCAGCCACGTGCTGCACGTGGCCGCTGCTGCGTTACGCAAATGTTACCACCGACACGTCGCTCAAATCTCCCTGGGCGCACGCGGTTTTGTTGAAATCGGGCGGTTAAATAAAAAAAAAAGATTTAAATTCAAATTGGTGCACGTAGCAGTCTTTAGTGGCCGAAACGGTTACACGACGCAGTTCATAAAAACATGAAATCGATATCATTAATCGATGACGCATTGTTCGTAAACAGAGGTCAATCGACACGTGCACGCGGGTCTATTGAAAAACATTGAACGCCGAACCGACAACCACAAATAGAAAAATATCTTTATCAAGAAAGCCCCTTATAAATTAAAAGGCCCATCCTATTAATTCTCACCAAGAGCGCCAAGACTTATTTATACGCTTCTGCTAATTAAAAACCAAGTTCATAATTTTAAAAATGTATGTATATCACTTCATGCCGAGTTCTGTGTGCTGTACAGCGATTTGATTAGCCTTAATGAAGCGCGCAATATAAATGCATTAATAATAATTAAGACAACACACACCCACACACGCGTGTCTGGGCCCGTGGCATGCATTAAGAGACATCAGCCGTTCACGTATAACGCAACATTAACACTACAACCATCACGTTATCCGTGCGCGGCCCATATTAAAACGCCGGCCACTTAAGCAATCTCGTTCGGAAAAAAAAACCAGAGCCCTACTCAGCCAGCCATTCCATCCACCCAGCCAGCTAGCCAGCCAGCCAGCCAGCCACGTGTTCCCGTACCGGCAAAAGATCCGTCACAATGCAGACCGCGCAGAGACCCCGGACGAAAGACGGAATCGGCGCTCGCCCTCGGCTTTTATAGCCGGGGAGCTCCACCACGTGACCCCCGCCGTTAACAAAGCCACCGCCCCCCTTCTCCGCGCCGTCACTTCCGCTACGCGGGAGGAAATAAGCCACGCCCTTTCCGGCGAGGGCCGCCACGTGGGGGCGCTCCTTAGCCATAGACTGACACAGAGAAACAGACCCATAGACTTACATAGAGACCCATAGAATTACACAGATACCCATAGACTTACATAGAGACCCATAGACTTACACAGAGACCCATAGAATTACATAGAGACCCATAGAGATACCCAGAGACTTATACAGACCCATAGACTTACACAGAGACCCATAGACTTACATAGAGACCCATTGACTTACATAGAGACCCATATAATTACACAGAGACCCATAGACTTACACAGAGACGCATATAATTACATGGAGACCCATAGACTTACAAAGAGACCCATAGAATTACACAGATACCCATAGACTTACATAGAGACCCATAGACTTACACAGAGACCCATAGAATTACATAGAGACCCATAGACTTACACAGAGACCCATAGACTTACACAGAGACCCATAGACTTACATAGAGACCCACAGACTTACATAGAGACCCATAGACTTACATAGAGACCCATAGAATTACACAGAGATCCATAGACTAACATAGAGACCCATAGAATTACATAGAGACCCACAGACTTACATAGAGACCCATAGAATTACACAGAGATCCATAGACTTACATAGAGATCCATAGACTTACATAGAGACCCATAGAATTGCACAGAGACCCATAGACTTATAGAGACCCATAGAATTACACAGAGACCCATAGACTTACATAGAGACCCATAGAATTACACAGAGACGCATATAATTACATGGAGACCCATAGACTTACAAAGAGACCCATAGAATTACACAGATACCCATAGACTTACATAGAGACCCATAGACTTACACAGAGACCCATAGACTTACATAGAGACCCATATAATTATACAGAGACCCATAGACTTACATAGAGACCCATATAATTACACAGAGACCCATAGACTTACATAGAGATCCATAGACTTACACAGAGACACATAGACTTACACAGAGAAACAGACCCATAGACTTACATAGAGACCTATAGAATTACATAGAGACCCATAGACTTACACAGAGACCCATAGACTTACACAGAGACCCATAGACTTACATAGAGACCCATAGACTTACATAGAGACCCATAGAATTACACAGAGATCCATAGACTTACATAGAAACCCATAGACTTACATAGAAACCCATATAATTACATAGAAACCCACAGACTTACATAGAGACCTATAGACTGACATAGAGACCCATAGAATTACACAGAGATCCATAGACTTACATAGAAACTCATAGACTTACATAGAGACCCATAGAATTACACAGAGACCCATAGACTTATAGAGACCCATAGAATTACACAGAGACCCATAGAATTACATAGCGACCCATATAATTACATAGCGACCCATAGACTTACATAGAGACCCATAAAATAACACAGAGACGCATAGAATTACATAGAGACCCATAGACTTACATAGAGACCCATAGAATTACACAGATACCCATAGACTTACATAGAGACCCATATAATTACACAGAGACCCATATAATTACACAGAGACCCATATACTTACATAGAGGCCCATATAATTACACCGAGACCCATAGAGATACCCATAGACTTATACAGATCCATAGACTTACATAGAGACCCACATAATTACACAGAGACCCATAGACTTACATAGAGACCCATAGAATTACACAGAGACCCATAGAGATACCCATAGACTTATACAGACCCATAGACTTACATAGATCGATAGACTTACATTGAAACCCATAGACTCACACAGAGACACATAGACTTACATAGAGATCCATAGACTTACAAATATGTATGTTTAGCTTCTTTCGCACCGTACGTAGCACACACTCCCATAGCCATACAAAACTTGTAATTCAAGAACCGTTCTTACAGTCTCACCATCACCACCCTCATGCCTGGTCGCCGCCGATCCCTGGGCGCATCCACTCCAGCCGCTTGTTTTGGTAACCTGCCCCCTACCCAAAAGATCCCCCTATAGCCTTACCAGACTGTAGGAGCAAGTGCTGTCAGCGAGCAGCACCTATGAAGACCAGAACGGCCAACCAGGGAGGGGATGGCCAGCACCACGTCCGGCCTTCTTTGTCGCCCGAGTGGCGATGTTTACACACCGCACCAAGCTGTCATTTGAGGTTGAATCGACCCAGGGGAGGCCCAGGACCGGTTCAGATAGTTGCCACTGATGTTGGCCGTGAGCGAGAATCGAACTCGGCTCCTGCCCCCCACGCTAGTTACACCAACACATGGTTTGAACCATCATCTCCCCAAATCCAGCAAACCCCGGAGCTCCGGGAGGCACGTGCCTCTTTTGAGAGCGAATGCGGCGGCCTTTATATCGCCGGGGACATTCTCTCGGATATTCCAACTCCCACCACCAACTCGTGACGCCGAGGAGACGCCAACTCTCGGCGTGGCTAAAGTTGGCACGCGCACGTTTTTATTATTACTACTACACGCTTTATAGTAACTCACTCTGTTCTTCTTGTTGTATCCTCAAATCTTGTAACTCAATTTGTACCCACTTCCCAATGTAGTATCGACTGCAAACTTGGTAACTTATGTCATACTGATAACAATACTATATTCTATCATAATAAAATGTAAAAATAATTTTAAACATTATTTTTTATGTTATGTTTCGGCTTGGGTCTCAATTGTCTACGCTCAACTCACGTTGGCTGTAAGTCACCACGGTCCCCTTACGTCGTGGCAAGCTTCGGGGCCACTAACTGGAGTCGTGGAGTTCTTCCATTACTAGCACGGTACATTTCATTAAAGCGTGTTTAAAAAAAAAAGTTTACTTTTAATAATTACTTATTATTAATTTCGCACGCGATAGCGTGGGTAGCTATTTGTAGCCAGGTCAGTAAACATGGAAGACGACTGCTGGGGGCACAAGTGCTGTTAGCGAGCAGCACATATGAAGGCAGGCCCGGGACACGGCAACACCAGAGGATGTGGGGTGGTTAACACCACGCCTGCCCCCCATCCGCCTTTGTCTCCCACGTTTTGCGCACCGCACCAGGCAGTCGATTGACAAGTCGACCGACGGGGGAAGTCCCCGGACTGGTTCAGATAAATAATTATCGTCACCGATGGTGGCCGCGAGCGGGAAGAGCGTAACCAGTGCCGGATTATCCTCGCAGTATGTGGAACACGTGCTACGGGCCACCCGCACTTTAAAGGGGGCCCCGCACTTAATGCTTTCACGCTATCAATTCCGGTTCAGTGATTGTGCACTTGCTCTATTACTATAGTACTATACCCCCTTCAACTTTTATGAACGACTGGGTGTTTAATGTTAGCGATTTGTCATTATCCGGCTGTATAGCAAATGAAAAAAAAACAATGACCAGTAAAAAAAAGTGTTTTAATATTTACGTTTTTTTAATGTAGGGCGCCTTTATACTGGTAGGAACGAAGTTGTAAACTGAGTGTACCAGCCTGCAATAGATTAATGTGTCCGTCCGTCCCCTTTCAATACTTTAACGAAGTGAAATCTCGTGCTGTTGGGTGTAAAATCAGCAATAGACAGCGCAGAGACTTGTCCTACCAGCCCACCCTGCAAGGGACCTGTTAACATTTGCTCCAAGCTCCGCGCTAGCTTCATCCGACACTGAGCGGAGCCGCAGTGCGCTCACCGCTGACACAAGGCACCTCCGAATCGGCCAGGGGTCAGCCAGCTGCGTCTCTTCGAGGAGTTGCTTCGTTGACGTCTCGAATTCACCACGCAGTGCATTGTTACGGCCCTTTAAATATTTCGGAGTTTTTAAAACAAAAAATATATTGACCGAATTCGAAGGCCCCTCTTATTTTTTAGTTGCCGACCCTTGGTAATATAAAACAAAGTTTAGTTTAAACAAATATATATTTTATATTTAAGTGATGTTTCCCTTCAGTGTTTTGTATGGTTTGTTATAACGTTCTGGACCCGCCCCTGCTAGAAATCTGTAAAAAAAGACCTTTATAGCTCATCGGAGTCCTTCAGTATAACAATTCTGATTCTAAATTTTGATTTAAAGCTTTCGTGACTGCAGGGATTCGTATTCTTGGTTCTTTCGGTAAAGTCACCACGTAGAAGGGAAACAAATAAATAATAAAAATATAAAACAATAAAATTCTCACGAAAATTTGAACATTTTCTTGCTGTGGTTTTCACACCTGATGATGATTGCTTGTGTTGCAGTCGAAACGTCGTGAGCATTTTATTGTTTTATATTTTTATTATTTCATTGTTTCCCTTCTACGTGACTTTACTGAAAGAACCAAGAATATAATTCTGATTCTACTACAGCAGTTATTCTTAACCTGGGGTGCAAGCACCCCCTTGGGGGCGCGAGACACGGCCAGATTTCTTTAGAAGGTAAATAATCGAAAACACAAATTAAGCACGGGCACGTGATAATCTTTATTCGAAGCTTTCGTGACTGCTGGAATTCATTCTCTCTGGTTCTTTTTATACCTACGTGACTTTACCGAAAGAACCAGGGAGTACGGGTACGTAAGTTACAACTTACTTTGTTTCATCAAACCCGCGATGTATTCACTAACATTTTTTTAACGATTGAGAAACCAGCAAGGCTGCAGTAAAGGTTAAGAAACACCGCACTCTTGGCTTCACAATGTGTCGTGGCACAACTGCTGCTAAGCGAGCAGCACCAACGAAGGCCATCACCGCACACGAAGGCCGGGGGGGTCATCGACGAAGCTTTGCCGCAATTGTTTTTCCCATCCCAAGGCAGCCGATGTTGACAGCCCCCAAACGCACGCACCCAGCTCCCGTAGGGGGTTCTCCTGTTACAGGGAGGGTTTCCTCCCCCGCACCGAAGCCAGACACGCAAACATTGTTGTTGCGTGCGTTCGTCGGAGTGGTGAACAACCCAGTTGGTAGGACCAAGTTGAAGAATGGAACATAGTGAGCTTCAGCCTTTTATCCGTTTGTGGTTTGGGGATGCGGGTAAATAAATAGCAGCATCGTTGTTGATGGTGGTGGTTTGAGACATCGCCGTGTTTTTGCGTGCCAAAAAAACTAAATAAAATATACAAAAATTAACTTCCCAGTAATTCGTAAACCGAGGCCTAAATTGGGCTGATGCGGTGTACGGGAGGATGTGCATCTGAGTGGACTTTGCCGATGACCGGGTCCAGCGGTGTCAAGATCGGCCTCTGCGGAGGAGGCTCGCGAAGGACGCTGCTTCTGGGCAGACGGAGGCAGTCGCCCTCCAGCAACAGCGGAGGGGCGGACGCTCACAACGGGCAGAGCGCCGGGCGGATAAAAACGCATGCAGCAAAAAGTTGGCACATGAAGAAACGGAATTCGAAGAGCAACAAGTTCGCGTTTGTTTGCATTTATTAAATCAAGTTTCAACCAACCGAGGGGGGGCAGGCCGGTGCACACACATCCCAGGTGTGTAGTTACAAAAGAGCTTGTGTTTTTTTAGGTTTGTTTCTTGACTTACAGAGTTTTGGTTAAGTCCCCACGGTGTGATTGTGCAGAACCGCGTCTCTTTGTCACAGCCGGTCCAGATGGCACCCCCCGCTCCCCTCCCCGAACTCAAGCAGTGATGATGTCCTGGGGAAATGTAACTTGATAATCCACAACAGACCATTGTCCCGGTGAGGGTAGGGCTTTGTTGATTGTATGCGTGAACGCGTACAGCCCTGTTGCGGACGATCCACTGCTGGATGAGGGCCTCCCCACGCCGCCGCTGGTCAGTGTTGGTTTGTGAACGCAGGGATAATAGGGCATCAAGTAAAACAACTTATTTTCCCACACGTATCTCTCTGCTGCTGCTCAAAACGTTACCCCGCAGTAGCCTATATCACCGATGTCACAGAGGAAACCCCGCATAGAACAGGGGGAGAAAGTACAAACTCGGGACAGAAAGGCGCCCGAGTCAGGAATCAAACCCAGCTGCGTCCTTCTGCGAGGTTCGAACGTTGCCACTGCGTTATCAGCCTGCCTCCCGATTACTCGATCTAGGCATACAATACGACGTAATGTACGCTTTGCACGTTCTGGGTTTTTTTGGCTTTACCCGGACAACACCCCCCCCCACCCCCCGTGTCATCACACTGGGACCACCGATAGAGTTTGGCATCGCTGAAAAAATTGCTTTACAGCTCATCGGATTTCTCCAGGATAAATAAAAGATTCTGATTCCGTGTTGCTTGTTCATCCATCCGAGCCGGAGCCGAAAGCATCTCGACCGGCCCGGTGCGAGTAATTGAAACTGTATTTTGAATATGGTTTATCAAGTTACATTTTTTTTCCTTCCCATGAACAAGTTGTAAATTGACAAGGTGGCCCGATAACGTGGTGTGGTTCAATACAACAACACACCTGTGATGCACAATATTTACCGCTTTAAACAGGTAAACAATCACTCTACAGGTGGTTTATGTGAAAGCCGGGTTGACGTTTAGCCCGCTCCACACCCGAGCCATCAGCTGCGCAGCCAAATAGCTAAACCAATAAGAAAAAGACATCTCTGACACGTTTGTCAATGACACCGTGTGTCCTTAAAAGGGGAAAAATATATAACAGGCGACGTTTCAAACAATGGCCCTTCTTCAGAGCAAATACATAATTGGACAAAAAGCCACCTATTTCGCTTTTAAGGCCACGCACCGCGTTATTGACAAGCGTGTTTGATGTTTTTGTTTCCGTTGTTCGTCGTTCACAACCACAAACTGCCAACCGCGCATCACAAAATGATTGAATCGCCTGAACAGATCGCCTGAAAGATCGCCTTCGTCCCGAAACATCGCCAATATAAAGTATTCCTTATAAGGCCACACGCGCAGTGTCGTTACCGACGAACGTCGTGGAGTCGCCTGAACAGTCGAGTCATTCTCTGCTGCAGCCAACTGGTTGCGCGCACTCGGTCGCAAGAGACGTGCAAGTTGCGCGCGAGTTGCGTTTGCCCCGCAACCGGCTTACGATGTCGACGCTGCTGCTGCCGATTTGCTCCTCTGCGTCGAGTCCCGTCGCCTTCACGTGGTGAGGGAACCCCACCGGGACGTTTCGCTTCGGCGCCAGAGGTGGCTGGGGGCGGAATGATAAAGGCGCAGCCCTAAAACGGCCTCGTAAGTGGCGAAAGGGCCAGCCGCTGGAATGAGTTGTGGAGAAGGGAGAGAGACCCTCATCTAGAGGGTAATAAATCAGCCTCATCTGCTATGCTGGGGACGGGATGTCTAGGAAGAAGTGTGAAATAACCCAGGCTTTACCTGACCGTGTCCGACCTGACGAATGGTGGTATAACAATTTATTCTGCTGCGGAGTTCGGGGGGGAGAGAGGGTTTATTGGGGGGGGGGGGGGGTAATAAATTGGCCCACTGTTTCAACTGCCCCCCTGAGAGATACAGGATTTCAAACGAAGGGTATTTAAACTGAGTGATGCATTAAATGCAACAAATTTCACTACTGGACATCTGTGAAAAAGAGCGTTATAGCTCAACGGATTCCTCCAGTACAAATACATATTCTGATTCTACTGTATTCTGAAAGTATTAAAAGGGTATGTGACATCACCATAATTGTAATCATCATTAACATCGTCGTCGTCATCGTCATCAACCAAGTCATTTGCCGATTGGCGATTTATTTTAGTGCAAAACATTCTACAGCTCAGACAGAATGTGAACTTTGCGCGCCCACATGACGCGATGACAGAGAGATCAAAGCCAATCGCTGTCAGTGTGAAACGTGTATAAATTAAAACATCGAGACCGACAACAACAATGTAAAGGGTGAAACGATGGAATCATATATATTGTTTTGTGTAAACAACGCTCGGTCTAAATTTCAAACGCCACGCGAGCATTGGGTAAAGGCTGGCCCAGAGGCCTACGATGATTCCCATATAAAGCACGAACCGGTAACACAACAAAACCTACTGCGGGCAAGCGATTTCGCGGAAATAACAAACAAAATCAGCGTTGTGAACACAAATAAACAAACGAAAGAATGACAAAACTGCATAACAAGCGTCGTGACAATTGTCTGCTCACACAACATAACCATGCCCCCCCCCCCCCGCACACACATAAACATCTCCCCTTCCACCTCCTCTCTCCTACACCTCCTGAGTTTACCCGTCCACCATTGCACGCTGCGAGGTGTCCACGGTAGGAAATGGAACCGGCTAAAGCAGTGCCACTTTGGTTCTGTTTCATGACGTACGGGGGGGGGGGCACACCCCCGCCCCGCCAAGGTTTTCGTGGGGGCCCCCCCCTTGACCGTAGCAGGCGACCCAGCAGCATTTGTTTCGACACCAAACGCACCGCCCCTCTTCATGATGATGAGAAACCGGACCAGGGGTTGTGTGTTGTCGACATTTTTAATCAAAGGTGCTGCTGACTTTGGTCCAGAAGCCCCGTTCCGTAGACTTGGTGGCACTACGTGGCCAGACTCGCTCTAAGTTGCTTGTTCATAATTTAGCCGTAAGGCAAAAAGTTAAAGTCGAATGAGTGCGTGACGACTATCCAAAATAGCCGGTCACTTCCGACATACGTAATTCTTGTACATACATAAAACATACAATCCCCATCAGCTGACACCGATGAGGGAAGTGTCTGGTCTGGTGCCTGGCGAACCGAAGACAGCCGCGTTACCGATTTGGCGACCGATGTCGATCCTTAACACTCGCGTGCGTTCTGTGTACCACGATTCGATAGATCGATCCTGGGTTCTTCGCAACTGCAAACAACACAAAATCTGCATGTCCATTACGCTGGCCGGTTGTACGTGTATCGCTCCTCAGGCAGGTCAGGACAGAGAATCGATTCGCCAGTTCAACTGCGGAAGTGGAGTTATTCGTCACCCTGCGCCGAGGACCCTCTGTGCCCCGGAATCACGTCGCGACCGAACTGCCCGAGAATCGTGGCATGGGCCTTGGTGGTTTTTTGCACTGCGGTCCTGTCGCTGTGTAAAAATGAACGCGCCCGCGATTTCGACTCATTAAAGAGTTGGCGGTCTAACAACGGGGCCTGAGCGCATCATTATACATGGGCACTGTGATGTCACGTGACGTCGAAAGGCATCATTGGGTTACAGATCCTATGGTCTCGATTTTCACCTCGAGGCATCTGGACATCGCCCCTCGAGGTGGGTGTGGTTACAGCATTCTCCGGATTGGATGATGCACTCTTTTCCCTCCTGTGTTTTACGGAAAAAGTTGGTTGTCCATTTTAAGATCCGGTGTGTGTGTGTGTCCGTCTGTCCAGATTCACACAGCTTCATTGACACGAGCCACAAGTTCGAAGTGCTTCGTACTTTCCCGAGCGTCTTATAATCCGGAGCATGCGGCATCACACCAGATTTGTGCCGTCGTTCATTCGGTGCGAATCAGCGAGGGTTTTGGCGACAAAAAATAAAATTGAATTCTGAGAAATTCTCTAAACAGCTCAGAGTTTGGACCCACGTTTAAAAACTGAGTGCACCTAGAGCACTGTGCATGCCTTACACCTCCACGCATCTCTTCACACTCTTATCAATTGCGCCCCCCCCACCCCATCTCATCCCCCTTCATGCAATCAGCGCGGCACCCCCCCCCCTGCACCCCTCCCCAACCTCGCCGGACACCTCCACCGCACGCTAAAAAAATGTTACTGCCAACAACGCAGAGAGAGAAAAAAATTATAAGAGTTTCCTTGGAAACGAAACACCGGAGCTCCCAGAAAGGAGCTCCCCGACCCATCACGACTGCACGGGGCCGGGGAGGTCACGCAGGGGGAGGCTGACCCCCGAGGGGTCGGCCTTGTAAGGGGGAGGCGGCGAGTCCTGGCCCATGGCCGACACCATCAGCAGCTTCCCCAGCTCCTCTTCCTCCTCCGTCTCCGCGACCGCGGCGCCCACCGGCGGGGCGTGGTCAGCGGGCGGCGCATGGATGGGCAGCGGGGTGATGGAGATCAAGAGGCGCTGCGCGGGAAACAGGGAGGGTACGTAGGGGGTTTGAGTCCCGGACGGCGGGAGCGGGGTGGGGGGTGCCCAGAAGGAAGTAGGGGGATTTTTGCAGTCGTAAGGTTGCACAATTGCCCCAGCAAATCAAAAGTGTCATATGTTCACTTCTCCTAGCAATCGTCACTTCTCATAGCAGCCGTCACTTCTCATAGCAATCGTTCCAATGCCCAGCTGCAGTTCTTTGGCCTTCGGGACTCCCCCGGTGGCAGCTGCCCCTCCTGTGCGGCACAAGAATGACTACAGCACCGGGCCTGCGAGTGGGCCTCAGCCTGCCAGTATAGGGGGGCCATGTTGCTATCAGCTGGGATACAATTGAAGTAATTTTGGGAGCAAGTTTTTTATTTATTTGGCAAACATTCGTTCATCGTGTACACGGAAATCCACTGCTGGATGATGACATCATGTAGCACCTGTGTATACGAGGCGAGATAGTTAAATGTACTTTTTCCGTCATGTTGGTTAAGCACGTGGGGTGGGGGAGCATAGACGTCTGAAGCGTAATACATTACGACAGATTTTTGCTGCACTGCCCTCTGCTGCCCACGACTGGAAGGCTACACAGTTCGGCACGTTTAGGAATCCTCAGCGTTTGACGCCGATGTCAGAAATTCGGAAAATCCGACGAGCTCGCACTTTCGAGAGGTTCATCGCGGAGATGTCAAGTGCGGCCGCTGGAAATCGCAAGCATTTTAGCACCTGAGAGTCTGATAAGAAACTAAACTATTTACTTTTTCATTTTACCAGATAAGGCCCACTGAGCTACACAGCTCTTTTCAGAAGCGACCTGGCCACAAACGATAGCTCAACGAAGTGGCTTATCACGTAGAATTGTACAGCACGTTTCCAAACGTGGAGGGCATAACCAGAGGACTCGGAGAAAAATCCACTCGACCATGGGGAGAGAAACACGTAAACTCCAAATATGCAGCTGGAGTCAGGGTCGGGATCGAAGCCACGACCTCCTGTGTACGAGGCGAGGTAGTTAACATCTCCTAGCCACCGTGGCGTTACATGAGTCGCGTGACTGGTGCAGCCGGCAGAGACTCCGGCGTTTAAGCCGAGACGGAGAAATACGCGGCGTGATGCAGGCAGCATGCTTTGTTGTTGGTGATTCACTCCCCTTCACCACTCCCCAACCCACCCCAACCTGCCACAACCCCCCGTGTCGTTTGCCAAGAATCTGCCGCGGTGGCGGTGGGGGGGGCGACGTGATGGAAGGCGCGGAATGAGCAACTTCCCCCGGGGGGGGGGGGGGGGAATTTGCCTCTCGTACAGATGTCCAGAGACAGAGCGCAAAACTATTCACAAATAAACACGTGTGTGTGTGCGCAATGTCTAAGCGTGGGTTGGCTGCCGACATTACCCGCAGTCACATGAATACGCACACGCATACAAACACACACACAGAAAGATAAAGATTCCCCGTATAGCCTTAACGGACTGTTGGGAAAGTGCTGTTATAGCGAGTAGCACCTATGAAGGCTGACGCGGCACACAAAGGGGGTGGTTGGCCTCCACCACGCTGATGTTTACACACCACAACAGGTACGAGGTGACCTAAGGAAAGCCCAGGACCAGTTATAATATATTAGCCACTGTTAATGATCAAGAGCGGGAATGGAACTCGGGTCACCGGGTTTGTAGTGCAGTATGCTAACCACTACACCGATGGAACACAAACATACCCGTACACCCACACTGGCACACATACACATCCATACAATGTCACACGTACACACTGGTAAACATACACACAAAAACAAAGATCCCCCATATAGCCTTAACAGACTGTTGGGGAAAGTGCTATTAGCAAGTAGCACCTATGAAGGCCAGAACGGCACACGAGGGAGTGGGTGGTCAGTAACCACGCCCAACCGCCTTTGTCTTCCCAGTAGCGATGTTTACTACACACTGCACCAGGTACTCATTTGAATCGACCAAGGGGAAGCCCCATGACCGGTTGAAATAATCGTCACTGGTGTTGGCCGTGTGCGGGAATCGCACGCAGGTCACCGGGTTCGTAGCGCAGCAGCGGCGCTAACCACTGTACCACCAACCCCCACACATAGTACAAAGGCAAAGATCCCCCGTATAGTCTTAACAGACTGTAGGGGCAAGTGCTGTTAGCGAGCACCTAATGAAGTCTCCAGCGTACGCAGAGATCCGCCTACCAATTCCGGGCGCATCACAGCCACTTGAGTGACCGGCACCATCGTGTAACCACCCCAGGTGTGGGCGCGAGCATGGGCGAGTGGGTGGGCACGTGGGTGAGCACGTGGGTGGGCTCGTGGGTGAGCGTGGGCAAGCGTGGGTGTGGGCGCATACCTGTCTGAGCGAGCCGGGGGTGGTGTAGAGCGTGTGGGCAGCGCCCAGCGGGATCCAGATGATGGACAGAAGCGACACGCACCAGCCCAGTGCCTCGGCCCAGCCTGGATACACGTAGTGGCCGTAGCGTGCCGGCTTGTACCGCACGATGCTGAACACCAGGATGCCCTGTGAGGTGGGGGACGGCCAAGTTAGGTCCCAAAAACTAATAAGCTGTACTATTTTTTATTTGACCAGGTAAGCCCCATTGAGCGAAATAGCTCTTTTTCAGAAGCGACCTCGCCAAATAGTCAAAATGCATGATGTTGATTCTAAATGTGGAGGGAAATACAGGAGGACCCGGAGAAAAATTCACGCAACCACGGGGAGAGACGCGAAAACTCCAAATATACAGCAGGCATCAGGGTCGAGATCTAACCGACGGCCTCCTGCATTCCAGTCGAGGTAGTTAACATCTTGCCACTGTGTCGCCCCGTTTGAGATCTGATGCTCGTGGTGGTGACTTTGTCGAACGAGCCCGAATGAAAGTGTATAAATATGTAAATGTATAAATATATGAATATAAAATTGGCTACTATTCTGACAACGACCGTTCTGTATAGTAGTGCCATTGGGTGACACAGATCATACATTTTTATTTCTTTTAAGGCCACAGTGATGTTGATGAGCGCGTTGAGTTGTTGTTGTTGATTGTATTTGTGCACCACTTCCAGCACAGCATCACCAAATTATGTGCCTCGCTATGCAAGCCCATGGCTGCCAATCAGAGTCTATGGGCATCAAGGACTATAGATTTATATGCAAATCTATGGATGTCTGCGTGAGTCTATGAAAGAGACTTCTGGCCTTAGTGTGCCCTTACAGCCTTCATAGGTGCTATCTACTAACAGCACTTGCCCCAGCGGTCTAATGAAGGCTATACGGAGAGGGAATCTTTGTCTTTGTGCGTGTGTGGGGAGAGGTCCTCACAGAGACGAGCACCGGTGCGCAGAACCGCCAGCAGACGCGGAAGAAGATGCTCGGCGGTCGTCCCAACATCTCCTGCACGTTGCTGGAGAGGCGCTCCACCCCTGAATAGGGACACGTGCAATGAGCCGTGCTCACTCACTATCCATCCGATCAACCCCTGTGGCTCGCGAGCAGGAGCCGGGTGGACTGTGGTGTCGCCGAACCTCGAGGGATATGGCGGCAGCTTGGAGGATGACGATGATGTTATCGAGCGATGATCTTTATTGTAAGGCCCGAGGGCCGCTGCCAGCCCCTGGTGGCCTTAAGTGCAGCCCCTGACATGCAGCCCCCGACAATACACAAATGTGAAAGCTACCCCATCGTGCTGTCAAAACCCAACGCGTTCAAATGCGTGGCGGTGGCCCTTGCACACCCCTCCTCTGAAAATGAGTGAAGAACACACTGACGTAGAGGAATAAACTATATATATACACAATTTATTTTTTATTTAACCAGGGAAGGCCCACCGAGCTATACAGCTCTTTTTCAGAAGCGACCAGGCTATCACAAATGATAGCTCAACGAAGTGGCTTATCACGTGGAAATGCACAGCAGTCAAACACACTAAAACGCACGTTTCTAAACGTGGAGGGAAAAACCGTAGGACCCGGAGAAAAATCCACGCGACCATGGTGAGAGACACACACAAACTCCAAATACACAGCAGGTGTCAGGGTCAGGATCGAATCCACGACCACCCGCATACCAGGCGAGGCAGCTAACATCTCGCCGCACGTACCATAGAGCCAGCAGATGGCCACCACCTCGAAGAACGCGAGGAACATCAGCGACGTCACCGCCGTGTAGTGGTCCATCAGCTGGAACACGTAAATCCCTCCCTGCAGGATGGGGAGGGGGCACACACAGCGGGGTTGGTGGATTGCACGGAGATCTCCGTTGTGCGATCGCGACAGGTGCCCCTCCCCCACCGGAGGCAGAAGCACAGGAAGTTGGTTTGTGGCGTGATACTTGAAACCTGACCGGGCGTCAATGACTGGGTCAATGTCAGTGCGATTATTAATGCTCATGTTGGTGCTTGGCATAGTGGCTATCCGTATGAGTACGGTACTCGTGGTGTCAGTGATAAGTGTCGAGACTAGTTTAAGTGTTGGTGACGGCAATCAGTTTCAGTGTTAAACAGCGTTAAGCTTTAGTGTCTGTGTGGGGATCCTTGTCAGCGATGGTTGCTGCTGTTCACCACGTTAACGATAGCGCGAGCGTTTTATTACCGGATATTGGGCTCGTGCGGATGCAAGCGTTGGTGGTGAGTGCTGGCGTTATAGTACGAGTGTTAGTGCCAAAGTCAGTTATTGGGAATAGTGCTCGTGTCAATGTTGGAACTAGTGTTGGTATCTCCGGTCAGCGTTAGTGGTCAGCGCTGGTGGTCAGAGTGGGTGTGGGCGGCACCTGCGTGACGTTGGGCAGGCCGAGCAGGAAGGCGACGAAGCAGACGAGCAGTACGACGAGCTCCTTGCGCTTGAGATGGCGCAGCAGCGCTGGGCCGCAGCCATCCATGAGGCTCGTCACCATCACCTCCACCATGGCGAACTTATGCACACACATACACACACACACACTCATAAACCATCACCTCCACCATGGAGATCATACATGCACGCACACACATACACACCAACCCATAAACCATCACCTCCACCGCGGCGAACTTACAAATATGCACGCGCACACACACACACACACGCGCACTCACTCATATACCATCACCTCCACCATGCAAATCTTACACGCACATATGCTGGCCTGCAAACACATTCACCACAAAGACAAAGATCCCTTGCGTAACCTTAACAGACTTTTAGGTGCAAGTGCTGTTAAGCGAGTACCTCTGAAGGCCGGCACGTCCCGGCCCGCCTTCTGTCTCCTTAGTGGCGATATTTACTGCACACCGCCGCACCAGGCACTCATTTGGAGGCATTCGGTAGCACGACCACCCTCCACTGAAGCTAACCAAAACTCACCTGGGAGTCGAGGCCCAGGCAGAGCAGCATGAAGAAAAAGGAGACCGCCCAGAAGGGAGACACGGGCATCGTGACGAACGCCTCCGGGTACACGACAAACACGAGCCCCGGGCCTGAGCGACACACGCACACGGTGCCGCCCCCCCCCACACTTTTAGCATCTCCCCCGCTCTCCTGGAACACCTCCCCCTCGGCCCCCAACCCCCACCGAGCCCCCCCCCCCCCCGCCACAATCTCGCAGCATGGACAATTAACGCTCGCGAATAGTCGGACATCACAACCGATATAGTGAGTCGCGTTTGATTCTTTTTGGGGGTCCGACCGTTGGCGTTGAGTAAAACGTCGCGTTGTACACCCTCCACCATCCGACACGGCCGATTGATAACTTTGTCACGTGACGAAGAATTGCGGCTGATGTGGAACCGCTTCCGCAGTACCACTGTTGGTGACGATGCTGGAGAGCTATCCGCACACGGTTTAACAATTGAGTACTGACCTTTCGCTGGTGGCTACAACCAGCATCATTATGCAGGGGCGTCATTGTGGCGAGATGTTAACTACCTCGCCTGGTATACAGGGGATGGTGGGTTCGATCCCGACCCTGACGCCTGCTCTATATTTGAAGTTTGCATGTTCTCCGGGTCCTCCAGTTTTTCCCTCCACATTTAGATCCACTTCTACGTGATAAGCCACTCTCATGTTGTTCCATCACGTGACAACTTGATTAACTGGCCGCGTCGGGTATGAGGAGGGGTGTGTAACGACATGACGTTTTACTTCACGCGAATGATGTGACCCGAAAAAAATCGATGACGAATCAACAAAGCTGGGCGCGTGTTGGGAGTGTGCATACGGGAGGCATTCGTGTTTCTCACTGAATATTTCCCCGGGTAGACTGGCCGACAGGAGAAGGGATAGGATCGCGGAGGGCGGCCTAGGCCTAGATTAGAAAGCCAAGACAAAATTTCATGATGCAGCAGCAGCAACCGTAATCATCGCACAATGTGGGGGAGCACATGGACGCATTAGACAACCATTCTTGGAGTTTCGTAACTCTAGTAAGTATGGCGATGACAAATAATAAACGGGCCATAACGAAAGGTATGGTGGATGTGGTGTGCTGGGTGTGGGGGAGTAAAATATTTTTTCCCGTATCGTGAACCCAGTTCAGATTTTGGCTGGAAAAATTCGGATGTGCCGCCCCATTCTCTACGGCGGGGGAGGCAGTCGATGGGTGTCAGCCGTTAAACCTCCCCACCGGCACAACGGGTTTCAGGGGGTGGGCACAGCGCCCATCCAGGTGAGTGGAGGTGGTGCGGGCACTGGGTTAGGGCCGCTTGTGCGTACACAGCTCAACTGGGAGGGCGACACCAGGCCTCGCGCATAGGCTTCAAGTCGGCACAGAGCTCATGGAGGGAAGGAGAGGTGGGGTGGCAGGTGTTGCACGGCAGCTCAATTTCCATTCGTAAATAACACCATGGCCTTAAAATGGGGGGGGAGGGTAAGTATATATAATATAGGTGACGTTTCAGGCAATGGGCCTTCTTCATAGCACACAACAAAATCAACACATGCAATTAGAAGAATTTAGAGGAGGGCAGAGCTGAGTGTAGAGAGTAGTGGTTGAGTGTAGAGGAAGGTAGAGGTGAGGGTAGAGGAGTGTAGTGGGTGAGTGTAGAGAATGGCAGAGGTTAGCGAGGATGTATGTTTAACTTCTTTCGCACCGTACGTAGCCAACTGTGCTAATCGGAGGTGCGGGAAGTAGTGATGAGTAGTGGTGAGCAGAGGTGCGTAGTGGGTGATGGCAGGGCCATACCGTCGGTGGCGATGTCGCTGACGGGAAGGCCGTGGATGTGGGCCATGTAGCCGATGGCCGAGAAAATGACGAAACCTGCGAAGATGCTGGTGGCCGAGTTGGTGAGGGAGACCACCAGGGTGTCCCTACAACAACAGACAGCCGCAACGACGACAACATGGCAGAACAATCACGCACACGCACAGACGATTCTGTGATGCTCGCCCTCGGGAGTGTTCAAATCAGCTGATGATAACCACAGCGCCTCGCGCGCCAGGCACAGCACGGGAGGCGGTGTCGACCGCCGGCGCCGTGGAGGCCCCGGGGAGGCTGGGATAGCGGCTCTGCCGGAGAGGCCATGGGAAACTCTCCGATCAACGTGGCCGTTTTGTTTCTCTAGGCGAGCCCCCTAATAATCGCGATTCGTAATCGATTCTTTCAGATCAGATAGTCACGTAGGTCAATGGTGTGAGCTGTAAACCCCTCCGCCACCTGATGCGACCGTTCAAGTTGCCGCGCAATGAGCTAAACGCGGCCAGTTTACTACAGCTTCACATACGAGCGTGTGACACTCGAGAAGTTCCCACGATTCCGATGGGTGCTTCACGAACCCGCTTGCCGTGCTGCCCCCTCTTGGCCCACCGTGATCCGGCAGTTTCGCAGATCCCCGTGTGATCCGGCGACGCACGCGGTCCGACGAGCCGACACGGCGACCCACCAATCATTACACACACAGCGCCCCCCCCCCCCCACCCGCGACTTAGGGGGGCCCCGCGATTCAGTCCGACCCGCACTCGTGACTTGATTCACCTGCGGTGGAAACAGCGGCCTCTAGTGGCTGGGCCACTCACCGCAGGATGTTGTTGTTGAACTTGTTGTAGCTCGACAGCGAGATGAGAGAGCCGAAGCTCACGCCAATCGAGTTGAACACTTGAGCGGCGGCATTGACCCACACCTGGTGGGGTGGGGGTGCGGTGGGGGGGTAAGTATTAGGGGGGGCCCTGGGTTTCAGTGCTCTGGATAAGCTAGACACACCGTCCACCCCCTCACGCACCGTGCCGGGCCCTGATGGTGACTCCGATGGTGACGACGATGGCAGCTATGTTGACCGCGATGGTTTCCACGATGGTGACGATGAGGAATGCACGCAGCCCTTTTGCTCCCCCCCCAATCCCCTGCTGCCACGGTGGCAAGAGGTTAACGACCTTGCCTGGTATACAGGAGGTCGTAGGTTCGATCCCGACTCTGACGCCTGTATATTTGGAATTTGCAGTGCGCCTATCTCCATGTGTTCTCGTGGATTTTTCTCCGGGTCCTCTGGTTTTTCCCTCCACATTTAGAATCAACATAATGCGTTGCAATACATTTACACACGATAAGCCACTTCGCTGAGCTATAACTTTTGAAAAAAAGAGCTACGTAAGCTCAGTGGGCCTTACCTGGTAAAATTCAAAAAATTGTTTAGTTTATAGTTTAGTCTTCCCCTGGGTGAGCGAGGGAAGTGAAGGGGGGGGGGGGCTGGGCTGGGCTGGGCTCTCACCCACCTGCACTTCAGTGAGGCGCCCCCACACGGGGGTGAGGAAGTAGCGGATGCCGTTCATGGCGCCCGGCAGCTGCACATTGTTGATGAGCAGCGCCAACAGCACCACGTAAGGGAAGAGCGCCGTGAAGTACACCACCTGCATGCAGACAAAGATCCTCCATGTGGGTCATACACACTGTTGGGCCTGGAATGGCGGTATGGCCAGAGCCACAGTGTGCCAGCACCGCGGGGGTTTCCTGCCCTCTGCCTTGGTGTGGGGTGGCCAGGATGTGGGAAGGGGGCCTCAGTAATAAATAAAACTTTAATTATTTAATATAGAGCCACTTTACAATGCAATCGTCACACAGCGTTTCACACGTAAACATAACAACATTACACGATTAACATTTGAGATACACAAAACAGTAAACAAAAATATTACACGGTTCAAAATGTATAAATTGAGATGATAAAATGAACCTAATTGAAAAAAATAACCGAATTTAAAATAACAAATAATCGACCACAACGAAGTAATCCATTATAATCTTTCAGCTGACCGATCGGCTGTTCCGATTGGCCGACGGCCCCCCCCCAGGGGGGTGCTGCCTGCCGCCTTCACCTTGCCCGTGGATTTTACGCCGCGGAAGATGCAGAAGTAGACGAGGACCCACGCGAGAAGCAGCAGCCCCAGCAGTTCCCAGCGCATGCTGCCCAGGTCCTCAACACCCCCGGTCATCTGCAGCACTGTGTGGCTGTGTATGGGGCGTGGGGGCAGGTGTGGGATGGCATCAAGAGGAGAAAGGGGGGACCACCACCACAGCGGGAGGAGGGTGGGAGGGCGGGGGGTTAAGGAGGAGGGGATGAAGAATGGTAGCGCACCAGAGTTTGGGCAATTTTTTTACGCCGGTACTGGCTGCCTTCCTGCTTTGATGGCACCATGGTGGCAAGATGTTAACCACATCGCCTGGTATACAGGAAGTTGTGGGTTCCATCCCGACCTTGACACCTGTTGTATATTTGGAATTTGCATGTTCTCTCCGGGTCCTCCGGTTTTTCCCTCCGCATTTAGAATCGACATCACGCGTTTAGAGAATGTGGCTGCGATACATTTCCACGTGATAAGCCACTTCGTTGAGCTATAATTTGTGGCCAGGACACTTCTCAAAAAGAACTATACAGCTCAATAGTTTATTTTTGTCTGTGGTAGGATGGCAGAGCTTGGGCAATCTTTGGCGCTAGTACTAGCTGCCTGCCCGCTCGTCTGTGGTTTATCCCCCATGCCGCGAGGCGAAAACCGTGCATATGTCATAAAATTTACAGCGATTTACAGCGACATTAATTGTATTCTCCACAACAACGCAATTACATAATTTTGCATGGAACTAGGACCCGCATCTTAAAAAAGAGACTTTGCCTGTAACATCTGGCAGCACACCAGCATATGTTCCAACAAGCCTGCCTCTGCTGATGAAGCCCTCTATGTCGAATCTGGTCCAAATTTTTTGCTCTTACCTAATCAATGCCGCCCCAAAAGTATGCAATGAATTCCTCGATGGCCGTCGGGGCCAATCGGTTTTGTGAGACTTCTTTCGCACCGTACGTAGCCAACCGTGCTAATTGGACGGATATGTGAAGGATACATATCATCTCCGATCCGCACGGTTGGGTACGAACGGTGCGAAAGAAGTTATACATACAATTGCAATCGGCTCAAAGATGCAATCATCGTGAATGACACCATACTAAAAAAGATCAAATTATTTTTTAATCATAATTTTACACTTTACGCTGGCGCAAGCTAGAAGTTTCCACCGTGCGCTCACTCGAAGTAGTGCTGGCTGGCGGAGATGCCCAAGCTCTGGTTCCGCGACATCGCCACGCTGCTCGCATTTGCCAGCGCCGCGGAAATGGCGGCACTTCCATTAGCTGTCGCCGCCGCGCTCCCGGCTGGCGAGAACCAGGGCAGGGGGCTCTGGAAGGAGCGGAAGAGGTAGTAGAGCGCCCACGTGACGATCACATTGTAGTAGGTGCACAGCAGGAAGGAGATCGCCACCGTGGCCACGCCCACGCCTGCGTGCGCATGCCGTCGTAAAACACATCCACCAGCACTGTCAGCGCCGTGACCGTCCATCATCAGCAGCAGCGTTATCAGAACCAAAAGTTTGATTTCCCCGAGTAAAGCCCAAGTGCAAACCCGGCCAGCAGTTATTGTGTTTTATATTCACGATCAGCAGCAGCTGCTTAATTACAATCAGGCTCACGGCCAACAACGTTGACGATTATTTGAATCGGTCAGTGGCTTCCCCTAGATCGAGTCAGCCTCAAGTGAGTACCTCGTGCAATGTGTAAACATTGCCACTGGGGAGACAAAGGCGGCCTGGTCGTGATTCTGGCTACCCACCCCTCGTGTGCCGTGCCGGCCTTCATAGATGCGAGCTAACAGCACTTGCCCCTACGGTCATTAAAGGCTATACGGGGAATCGTTGTCTTTGTGTGTGTGTCCGAGTTAGCGAAACAACTGTGAAGGTCACCACGGCAGTGCAAGCACGAAAGTGGTGGTGTCGTCAGTCACGTCAGGCCTGGCTACCCCCCCCCCCGCCATTGGCGATGTTTACATACCACACCAGGCACTCACTCAAACCGAGGTCGCCCGTGCATTGGTCTTTGTTATTGTACGTGTGTGTGTGTTTTGGTGGGTGCGTGTGCTTACGTGTGAATCTACATCCATCCGTGTATATGGAGAGACATAGCGCAGCAGTTGGCGCTCCGAGCTATGGACCCGGCGCGTAGATTTCGATTCCCGCTCGGGGCCAACATCGGCGTCAAAATATTTTAAGCGGTCCTGGGTCATCCCTAGGTCGATTCACATTTAATTGAGTACCTGACACGGTGCTGTAAACATCACTGCTGGGGAGGTACGGCAGCTGGCCACACTACCCAATCGCTACGCCGTGCCGGACTTAAAATGATGAATTTATTTGTTTTAACCAGGGAAGGCCCGCTGGGCTATATAGCTCTTTTACAGAAGCGACCTCGCCACAAATGAGAGCTCAACGAAGTGGCTTATCATGTGGAAATGTATAGCAGCCAAATACTCTAAAAGCACGTTTCTAAATAGGTGCACGCCTACAGAGCACTTGCCCCACCACCCTGCGTAAGGGATATACGGGGGGAGGGGGAGACTTTGGCCTTCGCCCTCTCTTGGCACCTTTGAGCAGTGGACAGAGCCTGGCGAGTGCGTGCACGGGGCCCAGGCGCGTGTACTGCCCCACGGAGAGCTCCATGAAGAGCAGCGGGATCCCGCACAGCGCCAGCATCACCACGTACGGCACCAGGAATGCACCTTGCACACGAGGGGTACACGGTGGGGCGAGGGACACACACACACACACGTGTACATTGGTGTGAGTATATGAACCCGGGGCACGTGTGTGTCAATGTCACCACATGTTTGAGGCCAGAGTCTGGGCTGGTGTCAGTGTGGGGGTCACGGTTGGGGGTAGGGGTTAGGGAACTCTGAATCGAGGGAGGGACCTAGGATGGAATCAGCGTGTGAATTCACAAACACCGCATCCTGCTCCTCATCCACAAACTCTGACTCTGTCCTCCCACTCCCTCTCTCATTTTCCTCCTCTTCCCTCTCTGCAAGTCTCTCTCATCTTCCACTCCACCTTCCTCTATCACGCTATATCTCTAAACTTTCTCTCCCTCTCTCTCCCCTTCCTTGTGTCCATCCATCCCACAATCTCACCAACTCTCAGTCTCTCTCTCCTTCACCATTATCCCACTCTGCCTTGCCACACTCTCTCTCCCCCAATCTCCCCATCCACCATCACGTCACCTCCCTCTCTGTCCCAGCCACTGCTGTTGCTGTGAAACCATGCAGGGCAACCTGGTAATTGTTCTCAAAGTCGTTGTGGGTGGGGAAGAGGTTATGCATACAGCTGGGGCTACGAAGGCTGCGCATATACAGAGATCTCTCCACCCAGTCTCGCCAAAAGCCGGGGTGGGGGGGGCGGGGGCAAACGGCCCCAGGCTCTTTAAAAGATTCCAAGCACTTGGCAGGATTCTGCAAGACAGACCCAGGTGTTATGGATTTAAGGACTGAGATTTATGTTGGAAAAATACGGCGACTGCACTCTGCGTCTGCCAACTTACTGATGCGCGTACTTTAATAATAACTTTTTTTTACTACAGCTTGTTTACCTGGGAAATTCTCACCGAGTCTCAATCCACGCAAGAGACAGGAGTCGAACCCAGGCGCTTCTTGCTGCGCGGCACGAGGATTACCACTGTGCCACCCAGACGCAATTTCGTAAGTTTTTTTTAATCAAAAGTCTATTTTACGAGTAAAACCCTTTGAGCCCCAACTGGACATCTATGAAAAAGAGCTTTATAGCTCATCGGATTGCTGCAATATGAATAAATATTCTGATCCTGATACAAGTATGATAAAACCAAAGATCCCCCATACAGCCTCAACAGACTGTTGGAGCAAGCGCCATAAGCGAGTGGTGCCCTATGAAGGCCGGAACGGCAAACGAGAGAGGTGGGTGGTCAGCACCACGGCAGGGCCGCCTTTGTCTCCCCAGTGCTGATGTTAATACAATGCACCACGTACTCATTTAAAGCAGAGTCGACTTAGGGGAGGCCCAGGACCAGTTCAAATATTCACCACTGTTATTGTTCATGAGCGGGAATTGTAAATGTGACGCCGGGTTCGTAGTGCAGCGCGTACACCACTGCACCCCACAGATGTGTTATATACATACACACACACAAAGAAACACACATTTTGGTTCGGTAAGACGCTATTTTGGCACAGATACAACCCACTGTGCAATAAATTATTTTTTATGGAGACCTGGTAACATAAACCAGAGAAACCTGGTAACAGCAAAAAATAAAAAAATAAAAAGCACGAACCAAACCTGAACATAAGACGCACGCATACACTTGTTACACATGCCGGCACGCCCACGCGCGTACACATCCACACACAAACACGCCTTCACAACCACAGAACCACGCACTGACACGCAGACAAATGACAAAGGCAATAACCATGACAGGTCGCGAGGGAAAGTGCAGCTCCGAAGCACGTCTATTAATAGATGCAGAGGAGGAAGACACTGACAAGACACCAGAGGGAAACGGGCTCAGGGGTGCAATGCAAAGACAAAGATCCTCCGTATAGCCATGACAGACTGTTGGGACAAGTGCTGTTACTGAGTAGCACCAATCAAGGCCGTCACGGCACACGAGGGAAATCGAAACCGGGTCGCCGGTTGGAGTGCAACGCACTAACCTCTACAGTACTGCTCCCCACCATGCAATGCTCAGACACACAATGACACGTGACCGTTCACCAAAATAGGCACGCACAGAACAAAACAACAGCCGCTGATCGCCACAAAGTGGCAGTGACATCACCGCAGAGCTTGTGCCAGGCTAGGTGCAGCTTGAGGCCATCACGTGAAGTTGTCGAAGGCTTGCCGACAGTAGGTCACGGCCTTGACCAGGTCAATGAAAAGAGATTTAGGTCTGGTTGGAAGTTCCTTCCACCTCTGTTGCAGCAGAAAGACAGATAATATGGCATCTGTGCAGGACTGCCCTGACCTGAACCCACATTGGGGCTCCGCAAGCCTTTCCAAAGAGTGCCTGGCAAGGCAATGTTGAACAATTCTTGCCAGCACCTTTCCCGACGCACTGGAGGGAGATGCTGTGGTAGTTGCTACAATCAGTGCGGTCACTCTTCTTATAAAAGTGGATCACCATGGTATCCTTCCAATCCTGCTGAAACGCTCTTCTGGTCCAGACAGTTGCAATAATATGGCAGCCTGAATAAAATTGCACCTTCCCTCAGGAGTTCACTTGTGAGGTAATCTCTGCCAAACACTTTCCCTTATCTCAGTCTCTGGATCATTATTTGTACTTCCTCAACAGATGGCACATCAGCCAACCACTCACAGGGGGTGACTACTTCCTCCAAGTACAACAGCCCCAGCAGGGTCAGTCCCACCTTTACCTCATGATTTGTATCTGGGCTAAGGACTTTCCCCTCTCCAATACCTCACAAAAATTCTCAGCAAACCTGAAGAACCGTTTCCTGTGGGTTGGAGATTGGATTCCTACCCTTTCACTTCATGACAGTGACAGGTGGGGCACTGCCAGTAATTTTTGTGATGGAAATGAAAAGCGATTGGGGACCACAAGCAGCTGAGGCAGTTTCCATCTCCTCTGCAACCCGCCACCACCACTCATCCTTGCAGCGCCGCATGGTTCTCCGAACCTTCGAGCGAAGGCTGTGGTAAACCTCCTCACTCTCAAAAGTTGATTGTCGGAGATGGTGGTAGTGGGCCTGTCGCTTTCTCTCAGCTACTGGGAACACCTCCTCCAACAGCCAGGCTTTCTGAGGTCTGGACTGTGCCCAATGCAGCAACAGCTATGAACCACACCTATTTCTAATAGGCATAAGAAGGCGGGGAGGAGGGGGAACGGGGGGGTGTACAATGCCAACCCCAACTGCAAGCGATGGTGAAATTCTCACTTTCAACTTTTATCAGGTAGCCGTGACCAGCCTATTGCGGGTTTAAATGTTCTTCATCTTCAGTGGGGGCATAAGCCACCACCACCATCACCACTATTCATCGCCTCCCATTTATGGGGAGGCGAGCCCACAGTAGCCTGGGACTCACAGCTTCCCATACCTCCCCTCCACGCTCCCACACCCCCTTTCATTCTTTTGTTCAGAAGAACCAGGACTGGTTCAGATATTCGTCACCAATGTTGGCCCAGAGTGGGACTCGAACTCGGGTCGCTGGGTTCACAGTACAGCACACTTACCACTACATTACTGCTCCCCACACAAACACACAATGACAAAGATCCCCCGCATAGGCAAAATAGACTGTTGGGGCAAGTGCTGTTAGCAAGCACCTATGAAGGAGGCACAGCACTTGAGGGGGTGGGTGACCAGCACTACGCCCGGCTGCCTTTGTCTACCTAGTGGCGATGTTTGCACACCGCACCAGGTACTCATTTGAGGCTGAGTCGACCTAGGGGAAGCCCAGGAGCGGTCCAGATAATTGTCACTGGCGTTGGCTGCGAGCAGAAATCAAACTCGGGTACCCGGGTTCGTAGCACAGCGCTCAGAGCTCTAACCGCTAGACCACTGCTCCTCCAAAACATACAACACACACACATTGATAACTCCACCCACAAAGCAAACAACTCTTATCTTGTAGCTACAAAAAAGAAGGCTGTGTCCTTGGATGTCCCATAGGAGTTTGAACCTTCATTAATGATAAAAAACAAGACTTCCAAATCACAGAAGTATTCCAGTGACATCACTGCAGGGACTCACGTGACCCTAACTTCATGCTGTCTCCACATATTGTCGCAGTATTACTCCACGACGCTTGTTTACCCAGGGAAGCCTCACCGAATCTCAAGACTCTTGTTCAGGAGGGACCTGTCAAGGTGTCGCAGGAGGTGGCGATGTTGCTGTTGCCGCTGTGTGCGATCCCAATTGTAGTTATTTGCAGGTACTGTATGTTGATTAGTATTGGAATGTTTTGCCAACACGGGTAGAGAATGATCGTTTTTTTTTTGTTAGTTATTAAAGGAAAACTCATGTAGAACGAGGAGAGAACAAACTCCACACATAAATTCGTCCGGGTCGGGAATCGAACCCAGGCCTTTTCTCTCTGCGAGTCACTGTTGGCGCCTGCCACCTATAAAAAACACAGAGACTCCTCTACTTACGAACACCCGACTTACGAACTTTCAGAGATATGAACAAACTTGTCTCGCATGTCCAGTTGTCTGTTCGGACTCGAGAGTCATAAGTTCAACCGTCGCGCAATAGATGGCGGTGGTGGCACCTACATCTGCAGAACGTGAGAAACCAGTGGCATCTGCATCTGCAGAATGTGATACACCAGTGGCATCTACAGGAGATTATGTTTCTAAAGCCATTTCTCGTGTTTAGTGTACATGCCATACAACATGTTTGGAATCGGCAGGAGCAAAGTTGGACTTATGAACAAATCGACTTACGAACAGACCTCTGGAACCTAACTCGTTAGTAAGTAGAGGAGTCCCTGTATATGTTTTAGTCTATCATTATATTTTCTTTGCAGACCAACGTTATTGTTCAACACGTGACAAAGTATTTTTTTTGGCTGCCATCATCGGGTGGAGGAGGGTGTACGACACAACATGGGCATTGTAATCGGCCGGGGGGTGGTGGGGCCCCTGTGTAATCTGACCCAAAAATCAACCATTAGCCAGCAAGCATAAGTTGACTCAAACCCGAATGAAGAGCTTGTACAAGAGTCA